ATCCTCCTAACTTTTTTGTGGGGTTTTGTTGAATTCTCGATCTTGGAATAAAATTCCCCAGATAATTTTACGTAAAAAAGGTGCTCTTGTTACAAAGTCATTGAGCCAACCGTTTTCGAGAAAAATGCTATTAAAAATGTATCACCACAAAAAAAAATATCAAATTTTTTTTATCAACGTTTGGGCAGGAATAATTGGCGATTTCTTTATACAAACATATATGTTTCACCATTTAGTCGATTTGTTAAGAAGTGAGGACCTATATCAAGAAATCGCCAATTATTTCTTCCCAAATGTTGATAAAAAATAATTTCTTAAAAGAAATGAAAATCACTTTGATTCAAAAGATTTGCACTTTTAAATAGGGCCAACAGCTATGTTTCTTAATCTAAATCAGAAACTATCTTTACAAACATTGTTTTAAAATTACTTTTCTCTTTTAAATGAAGAAAACGTTTTTTAGCGCAAAAAAATGGGATTTTAACAAGAAAACTGCATCTCTTAATTGGAAAGCTTAGAAACTTTCTAAGAAAGAAAATTTTTCTTGCCAAAAAAACATATACCATTGACCTAACCACATTTTATTTTGATTTTAGAGCAAATATTTCTTGGTTCAATAGTATGTATTGCGTTATTCAAAAGCTTCTAATCTTCACCGAAACTACCAGCGTTGTTAGTATTTAAGCTTAAATTCCCCTCACCACATAGGCCTTTTGATTTTAATTTTTAAAACATGCATTTAACAATTAAAATCAAAGACCTTAGTGAGGGCCCAAATATTGGCATTGTTCAAAACTAGAAGATTGACTGAAAAAAAGGTTAACAACAAAAAAATATTTAAATAAAATTAGAAATTTATTGTTTGATATCAACAAAAGCGCATAGATATGATTTAAAATTTATTACATATTTTAATTAATACCTTATAAGGTATACCTGCAAATACATTAAACAAATTAATTCAAATTTCATTTATTTAAAAACTCCACTTTCATTTATTTAAAAACTCCATACAACACGCCATAACACAACACAACCGGCAAAATGTATATTAGAAATACCTATAATAGAATTATAATATTATATCACTGCCCCTAGAAAATGGCGAATTGCCGCGTGTGCCGCAAACGGTGTGCGCGTTTTGCATCCCCTCCCATGTATCAGAAGCTACCAGATTTTGTTGTAAAATTGATATGCTATTGGGATAATTGTGATGTATATTCAGGGCCGTTCCTGGCGAGCGTGCAGTGCGTGCAATTACGCAGGCGCAACATTTTGTGTGCGCAAAATCAAAGAGTCAATCAGTACTTTGTAACGATAAACTTTCTTGCAAATAAACAAATACTTACACATACATAGGATAAAGGTTACCGCCTTTCTTTGCGTCGGCCGCATTAAAGCCCTATGCCGCTCTTTTTTTCGGCCGCTATAAAGCGCCTTTTGCGGCTTTGATAATGGCGGCATAATTTTTTTGATATGAGTATTTTAAATTGTCATAATATTTTTTTCTACAACCGAGCGAAAAGTACAAATTTGCGCTTTCAAAAGAAAGCGCCAAGATGCACTTTTCCGAGGAGAAAGCGTTTTTTTACTTTGTCGATCACCGAGCGACAAAGGATCCAAAACGCTCGCTTAGTTACCATGGAAACCATAATAACGAAACGTCTAGTATGCAAAAGTCAAATTTGAGGTTATCAATAATTATTAATTATTACCGAACATTTTTATAAAAACACCGGTTTTAGAAAAAATCCTGTGTGTAATTCGAGCGCAAAGTGACATTGCCGCTCTCGCGAGATAGCCACGCTCCGCTAAGCGGCGCGCGTCAAACTTCTCCCTCAGAGCGACAATATATCACTTTGCGCTCTTAATACATAAATAGCTATAGTATTTGTTTGATGGTTGCAGTTGACGGTAGCAAAGTTTAACAGTTGTGTACACAGTACATGACTTGGTAACGAGCTTACTCTCTAAAATTCAATAACAATTATCGAACAGCAATTTGTATCCCGGACATTTAGCAGTCAACTCCTTTGTAATATTGTCGTCAAAAGTTATAAAAGTAAAACAGTTTTACATTAAATTAAATATTTCAAAAACTGCTCTACTTTCATAATTTTTGACGGTCTTTTCGGATTCAGGGGACAATTTTAAATAATAATAAGCTTTTAAATGTCCGGAATACAAATTGCTGTGGACTACAGTTATTAGTGACTGCTTTTTCACTTTGAAAACTAGTCATTTTTGACTAATTAATTTTTAGAGAGTACGTCACTAAAAACCAGTTGTAGTTATTATATTGTTTATACAGGGTGTCCCAAAAGTCAACGATATTCTTTGAAGGACTAATAGGTCAGCTCATGACTAATCAGAATATCAAAACATGACCTTAGTAAAAAATTATTAGTTTTTAAGATATTGGCATTTTTATGAATTTTGTGAAACTTGACCGGAGCTGTGCGGTACTCGAGTACAAGTACTCAAATACTGTACTCCAAGTACTTTCAGTGTACTCGGTACTGAGTCCCGAGTACTTTAATTTGAATGTACTTATGCTTGTACTTGAAACATTTAATGTTGCAAAAATGTACTTGAGTACTTTCCCGTGTACTCGAGTCCTTTTACGTGTACTCGAGTACATCCAAAGTATGCAATGAGTACATTTTTATGAGGTTGGCGTGGACACATATGTATGTGCAAATATGTGCGTGGGTGCTGAAAATTTGGCAACACTGCTCAGACTTGTCAAATTAAGGACATGCTGCCTGGGGCAGCCTCAGCCAGCCTGCCTCAAACGACAGCCTCAAGACAGCCTCAATCAATAAATAAAAAGACACAGGAAAGAGCATTGAAGAAAAGGTTTTTACTTATGTATGAAATGTAATTTTGTTTATATTTTGGTAGAAATAAGGTGACAATATTCCTCAAAAAGATAATTAAAAAATAAAGCTAAAGCAAAGAAAAACAAAATACTAGCCGGCCATGATAATTAACATAAAGCGAAATATCAATATTTGATGAAGGCAATAGGCCGGCTATAGTACTTAGTTTTGCACTAGTGATTCAAAATTCATTTCTTAATCGCCCCATTTCTCTAGCATTTTTACCAACATTTCATAACTAAAGTGTACTCGGTACTTTGTACTCGTATGGGTACTCGAGGACAACGGTACTGTACTTGTACTTGGTACTCGAGTACTTTTATATAAGTGTACTTGTATTCAGTACTCGAGTACTTTTTCATTGTACTCGGAACAGCTCTGAACTTGACACATAAAATCAGTTTTTCGAGTTGCTACAACTACAACATTCTATATTCTTAGATTATATTTTATTTTGCGTAACCCTGAATAGGACTGCTATTAATTACAATTCAAAATTAAATGAATAGTAGATTTTGTAGCTGTGGCACTCGAAAAACTTATGTAAGGTGTCAAGTTTTACAAAATTCATAAAAATGACTATATCTCAAAAACTAACGATTCTTTACTAAGGTCATATTTTGATTTTCTGCTTAGTCATGAGTTGGTCTGTCAGTCCTCCAAAGGATATCGTTGACTTTTGGGACACCCTGTATGTTTTGTTTTCTTTTGTTTTGTTTGTTTGGTAATTTATTAAGCAGTTTTTTTACATTTTCAATTACATATTGCCAGTTTGTTGCAAAATATATATTTTTTAAATTTTAGGGCTTTAAATTAAAATATATTAATATATAAAAGGGGAGCACCAAAGAATGCTGCACGTAGGCGCCAGACACCCCAGGAACGGGCTTGTGTATATTGAATGAATTGCGTAAATATAAATAATTTTCATAGCTTTTGAACAAAAACTCTTTGCACTTGGTTGAAAGAAGAAACATTCAAGAGATTTTGTATTTGTTTTTAAGAGAACTATACTTCTTCCACTAAGAATTTTTTTCTTCTTTTATGCAAAAATATTTATTCTTGTCGCTAATAATTTTTTATCAAGAGACTACTTTAGTTTAAGGGCACCTTTTTTTCAGTGTATGTTTATAGAAACGTTTTATTTTATTTTTAAGTGTAGAAATATATTAACTTTATTTCCGGACACCCTGTATGCACCTTTTTTGTGTAGTTGGATTTTATGAGCGGCATTTCAGGCGGTTGTTGTAGTTCACGAACTGGGAGGGGCCTGAAAACAATGGGTGTGAGATAACCGTGGGGTAGCCTGGAACTATGAGGCAGAAATCGCCACACCTTTAAATCCCGCATCGGTCGTCTGCTGTCGTCCGACCCGGCCGACTCTCGACGCCATCTTGTTGCCGGCGTTCCCGCTGCTAAGCGCAGATCCGTACTCATCAACAAGTATACTGTTTTACTGTTTTTCTTTGCTGCAATTTTTTTCCCAATTCAGAAATTATCAGTTTTCAAAGTGAATCTTCATTTAGTATCTTTGAATAAAATACTACAAAAATAATGAAATTTTGTGCTATTACATCGTCTTCCTTTGATGCATCTATAGAATCATAATTTTTTTGTCCAGATTAGCCAATGGTGTGCTTTTAAGAAACCATTATTTTTTAAGAGATTTTTAAATTCATTAAAACATTTCAAAACAATTAAAATTTTTTGGATACGGTTCTGTTTCCGAGTTGATCGTTGCTTTGAGATTGGATTGGTTTGGATTTTTTTCATCGTCGTACTAATGAAATAACTCATGTAGAGCTTTAATATCGTTCGACGGATTGAACATAATGTAAAAGTGTGGTATTTCTTTGTTTTCTGCTTGGCCACAAATATAAGCCGACTTTTATTATTAATCTATCAGATCGATGTTCATTAATCATGAAAAAATCAATCATTAATATTCATTAAAATTATCTCATTACAATTTTAATTGAAGTAGGTACGAAGTAGATTAACATATTTCCACTTTGGTGTTTTAATGAAATGGTTATTTTTTGATGTATCAAAAAATTGCGTCACGCATCTAGATTTTTATCTTGATGGATTCTAGTTTAAAAATAAACTTTGTTGCAGGATATGGATCTAATTGAAGTTCTGTGGAAACAAGACGTCGATCTTGGTTTTTCCATCGAGCAGGCGAAAGCGGAAAAATCCGACTTGGAAAATGGTTCTTCATCGAATTTACGCATCAAGAATGACGATGATCTCGAAAAACTCAAAACCCTTAAAGCGATCAACAGCGAAACCATCAAAGTTTGTTTTTGTATCACTGTGATTTTTCGTTTATTAATTTTTTTCTTCTTTTATTAGGAGGAGCCGAAAAAAGAAGAGCCCGATGAAAATCCATGGGCTGGCCTGGATTACACTATCGACACAGAAACAGGTTAGTAAAATTTTATTAACACCATGAAATCCTTAATTATTGATAGTGGTTGGCTTAATTAAGCAAACTTCTGGCCAAGGGTTAAATAAATTACATGTATTTGCCTTACGCGTTATTATAGGACAAAGCAACGTTTTTTAATTGGAAACCAAAAGGCAGGTGGTGGAATCATTTTTTATTTATTTCGACTTCCCATAGAATGACTAGGCAACTTTTTAGAGCACCCTAAAATTATGGTCTTGTGTCGGTTTTAAAAGAAATTGTTTCCAAGATAATTATGGAAAACTTTTAATGCGCATTAGGGTTTATTTTCTTTTTTCTTCTCCGGGAAAAATGGCTGTCCGATTTCGGCAAATTTATGATGCCGGCGCTGCTATCGGACGTTTATAAGGAAAACTAATGATAAGGCCCGACGTTCCCCCCAATTTCTTAATGCAAAAACACTTCTCTCACTTTACGGGGCTCACAGATTGATGGTGGAACTTACATCAGCTAGATTAATAATGCAACAATGGCAGTCTGAATCTACATTGTGACCCTCTCGATTTTTTCGGATTAGACCAATGGAGAAAGAATTATTTGAGTAATGATCATTTCAAATGTGCCATGAGACAGCAACTATTACACTAAAATTAATGTCAAAGCCAAAAACATTTCAATAATATCGCAACAAAACCCATGAGCTTTAACTTACAGTTTATCAAACGTCTCCCAAAATCAGTTCCAACATTTTCTCACAAAACTAGATTTATTAAACATTCATAAATGCTTCCAAAAATTATAATATTACACTGTTAAAAATTTCTATTGTAATTTTACTAAAAATGTTTAGGAAGTTTTTACGCATCACAATATGGTAATAATAAAACTTAGTTTTGTAAATTCACTACACGATTCATTACAACTCAATTTGGGAAAATTACAAAACGTTTGTTGAAATTCACTAAGCATTTATTAAATATTTGTTCAGTAACATTACTATACAGGTATTGTAATTTTGCTAAAAAAAAATACTAAATATGTTTAGTAGGGGTGTGCTAATAATTCGAACTTACGAATTATTCGTTCCGAATCGAATATTAATATTCGATTTGGAACTCGAATCGAATAATTCGAAAACATTTCGAATAATTCGAATTTTTTTCGAATAATAATTATTCGTAAACTATTATATTATTAGCGAAATTTCGAGTATTTTGAATTCAGGGTTTCTTATGTTCAATATTCAAATATGAATTTAACAGTCAATATACATTTTATTCAAACCATGAAATATAATTACACAAATAGAACAATAGGTATAGTTTTTTTTAAAGAGAATTAAATAAGAGAAATTATATTGTAGCAAATACAGTATTATGAAAAACACAACATTTGAAAATTTGCTACAAATTTTTGTGCAAAAATAATAAATACGATACTGAAACATGAGTAACCTTTTTCTTATAGATTTTTTTTTCTCTGGGTAATTGATTTTTTAACGAAAAGTATATTATTCGTAAGTAGAATATTTCGATACACGATTTAAAGGAATTTAAATGGAAGCAATTGAAAATCCAGAGATATTTCATTAATTCGCGAATTATTTGAAAATTTTCGAGTTATTCGAAATTTTTTCGAATTATTCGAAATTTTTCGAATTATTGGATTTTTTTCGAATTATTCCTAGAATTTCGAATAATTCGAAAATTCAAATTATTCGATTCAAATTTCGAATCGAATATCAATTATTCGATTCGATTCGAACGAAATTCGCACACCCCCAATGTTTAGTAATTTTAAAATGGTGTATTGTAATTAAACTATACATTTCATTTCATCTCAGTTAAGAAAATTACAAAATATATTTTACAATTTTACTGAACTGAAGAAAAGTAATTTAGTAATTTACGAATGATGGTACTGTAATCATACTACGAAAAAAAACCTACAATTTTCTTAGTTTCTTTAAGAAACTTTCTTGACCCATTACTGCAAAGATTAAAAAAAATTAAACCTTCACCTCGACAGAGTTTTTGTTTTAAGTGCGTTCCACCAACTTCAAATATCGACAGACAGCTATTTTGGGTCTTATCAATGTCGGGCAATTTGGTGTATTGGAACACACCAAAAACGAAAGACACCTGAGCTTATATACTGTCCACATAAGTCAACCGAGGCGAGATGTAAGAACGTGATTGCCGCAATCGGTATATACTATGCATTTTACATAACATTATAGCAAATCAAATCACAAACAACGGTTTTAAATCTGAGATGCTTTTTATTAGAAACTGTCAAACTGTTTAGTAAAATTACAATGCGTGTAGGATTTATACATATAGATTGTAAAATTACAACTTATCTTAGTAGATTTCTCAACCTGTCTTGAAAGATTATTCAAATTGTATTATAATTGTGTATTGGTATACACTGATTTGTAATTTTACTCATCCTTTGTTTTGCAAAACAATTGTAATTTTACAAAAAAAAAAATAACAGTGTAGAAGGAGGTGACAATATTTTTTGAAATAAAAATGTTCACAGAATGTTACATGGTCATCGAGCTTTTGTTTTTAAGTGTGCTTTATGTGTTTTGGTCTTTTGGACATCATCAGTGTTGGGCAGCCATGTGGCGTGGGGCAAGATGCTACAGATTAATTAAAAGTTTTTCAAAATTTGACCTTCCTATTACTGAGTGCCTTACATTTGAAATTGGCATGTAATAATCGAGATATAGCTGTTAAAGAATTGGAGTAGATCTTTGTTGTGATGAAAAAGTCCGTAATCATTTGTGTATGCAAGTCGTCATGACTGTGTGAAGTTTCGGTGTTTTCCTAGTTACATGACTTTTGATTATTCTCTCTAGTTGTGTAAGGTGATATAATAAACAATGGCGAACAAAAATTCATTCACTTTGTGTTGTGTTGGATTAGTAGCACCTAGTCCAGACAATCTGCAGACTGCCTATTAAAAATGACTTATACTTTTTACAGTTTCATTCGATTTTACAACTTTATTATCAGCACAATAATACACTCTGTTAGTATAAAAATATTTGATTATCGATACTAATAATGATGAAATTGAAAGTTTGCATTACTAGGTATTGTGCCTAAAATATTATGTATATGTTTTAAGTTAAGTTAAATTGGTATGTCATTAAGTGGCATCTCGAAAAGGCCTTTTTAAGTGGATTAACTTTAAGGTGTATTCTTTTTAAAGAATTTAAAATCTTATTGTTCAAATTTTTGAAGTGGGATCAAGGTCTTCACTCTTTTATTATCCATTGTTCTTTTTTCCAAGCCTGTTATTTCAATACATCGACGGAAACTATAATTCTTGCTGGCGCATCCACCATTAAAATTATCTTCATCTACGAAAACACTTACAGTGTGTGCGATTTAAGACAGCAACAACCCATTAAAGTTACTTCTGAAAAGTATCTAGTTACTTTTCTAAGATACTTTAAACAAAATAACTTAGTTACCTCGGGTAACTAGATACTTTGAGTTGAAAGTATCTTTAGTTAAAAGAAACTTTAGAGTATATAAGATACTACCGAAAGTATTTAAGATACTTTTGAGTAACTAAGATACTCTTATGTAACTAAGATACTTTGAGTAACTAAGTTACTTTTAAGCACGAATAAAACTATAAAGTTATGAAATTCAACAAGTTGTAAGTTCGGTAATTACTTTGAATCATTCTGGAATTCTCCCAATTTTCTCTAAGAAAGTATCTAAGTTACACTGAAAAGTATCAAAGTTAATTTAAAAAGTATCTTAGTTACTTCAAAGTATCCAAGTTACTTGAATGTATCTTAGATACTTTACCGAGTAACTAAGATGTTTTTTTAGATACAAGTTACAAGATACTTTTCAAAAGTAACTAAGTTTTTGTCCAATATAGAAAGTATATAAGATAAGATAATAATAAGATCTTAGATACTTTAGGAATCTAAGTTACTTTTAAGTATCTTTTTTTTTTAAGATAATCCCAGCTCTGAAAAAAGGTATAAAAACCAAAAATAAAGCAATAGTTACTTTGAGTTAAAAATGTCTTTAGTTACAAGATACTTTAGAGTATCTAAGATACCATCCGAAAATATCTAAGATACTTTTGAGTAACTAAGATACTTTTAAGTAACTAAGATAGTTTTAAGGTATAAAAACCAAAAATAGAGCAATAGATACTTTGAGTTAAAAGTATATTTAGTTACAAGATACTTTAGAGTATCTAAGATACTATCCGAAAATATCTGAGATACTTTTGAGTAACTAAGATACTTTTAAGTAACTAAGATACTTTTAATAACTAAGTTACTTTTAAGTATGAATAAAAACTATAAAATTATGAAAATTCAACAAATTGTAAGTTAGGTAATTACTTTGAATCATTCTGGAATTCTCCCAATTTTTGCTAAGAAAGTTACACTGAACAGTATCAAAGTTAATTTAAAAAATATCTTAGTTACTTCAAAGTATCTAAGTTACTTGAATGTATCTTAGTTACTTTACCGAGTAACTAAGATGCTTTTTTAAATACAAGTTACAAGATACTTTTCAAAAGTAACTAAGTTTCTGTCCAATATAGAAAGTATATAAGATAAAGTACCTATCTTAGATACTTTAAGAATCTAAGTTACTTTTAAGTATCTTTTTTTAAAGATACTCCCAGCTCTAAAAAAAGGTATAAAAATCAAAAATAATGCAATAGATACTTTGAGTTAAAAGTATATTTAGTTACAAGATACTTTAGAGTATCTAAGATACCATCCGAAAATATCTAAGATTCTTTTGAGTAACTAAGATACTTTTTTAAGTAACTAAGATACTTTTTTAAGTAACTAAGATACTTTTAAGGTATAAAAACCAAAAATAGAGCAATAGATACTTTAAGTTAAAAGTATATTTAGTTACAAGATACTTTGAGTATCTAAGATACTATCCGAAAATATCTAAGATACTTTTAAGTAACTAAGTTACTTTTAAGTATGAATAAAAACTATAAAATTATGA